CCCCCCCCCCCCGACCAAAAGAGAGCTTCTGTTTGAGCCAAATCTCCTGCGTGGCTGCAGGGCTGAGGTTTGAGCGCTGCCATCCTTGGGCTCAAGAGGTGCAGACCCTACTGTGCCCACTTTGTACCCATATCCTGGCAAAGGCAGCCTGTGGCTCCTTTGTTGGTAACTTGGTTTAGGGGAAAATTAGAGAAAGAAGCGTCTGGTGAGCAAAGGAATCCAGCTTATACCAATTAGGGCTTCCCCATCTAGGAAAAGCTCTTCTCTCTTGTCAGTGTGAGCCCCAATACAGGTGTCCCTTATCTGCCGGACATGGGCTCTCCATTAAGGGGACCCTGGAAGAAGGTGTGCTTGGTAGCCGTAGGCTCTTTCTGCATCTTGCCACAAGGTGTTTTGGGTGGTCGGAATTGTCTATACCTCTCCCTAAAACAGGTGGGGCAGTTCAGGCTGGTAGAACCTGGAGGGCCAGTGGGTCCTGAGGACTCACCCCTCTCCACTTCCAGGGACTCTGGGGAGGGACAGTCCATAGGGAGCCACACCCTGTGGCCTTTGGGACCGACCAGGCCTGCCCCTCCCTATGCTGTCTGCTGATCCAGAGCCCCTACCCTTCCCCGTCAGGATGGACCCCAGCAAATGCATCTATTTTTCTTTCTCTAGAAGTTAATTTCCTACAGGCTATGGGATGTCTTCAGTTATGGAGGGAGAATGTCCTTATTTTGATCCCAACAGTCTCTAACTGTGAAATCCTTGTCCCTTAATTTGGAAACCCAGTCCTGGTCACCTGATTCTATGAACCCCACAGCAGGGGTGCAGGCTGAGGGTCAGAAAGATGGGGCTGCTCAAGAGGGGATGAAGGTAGACACAGGTAGGCCTTGCTCTTCGCATCCACATTTATTTCCAGTATCAACTTTTGCTCCTGGTCAGGTGCTGGTGGGGCTCCTGTTCTGCCCCCTCCCTCCCACCCCGCCCACCCCGCAGGCGCAGGTTCATGAACACTGTGCACAAGGGTGTGAGGCTGTACTCCCCCAGAGGGAGCTTGTCCTCCATTGGCTTCCCCTTGAAGCTCAGCCAGAACTGGTCGTTCTGTATGCGCTCCTGTAAGCATACCTGCTGCTTGAGGCTGGCCACGCTCTCCATCAGCCTGATCTCGTAGGCACTGCTTTGGCCCCTGTCATTCCTCACCAGGATGCTCAGGGGGTTGTCGCAGCTCTGCACCACCAGCAGGACTGTGCTTCCGGGGCCCAGGCCCTGGCTGACGAGGGAGACCTTGTCCTGCAGTGCCACGCTGCTTGGGTGAACAACCAGGTGTTGCTGGAAGGCATGCACACCAATCTTCTGGGTGATCTGCCACTTCAAGTCTGATACCAGTGTAGAATTGCTCAGGGACACCTGGAACTCCTGACCCCCCAGCATCTTCACCTTCAGGTCCCAACCCTGCAGGTATCACAAGAGCTCAGAGATACTGGCATGAGTCCAGAGGCCCCTACATGCAAGGCATTGGCTGCAGGGCCAGCTCCTATGCCCAGGGATAATGCTCACTCTCATCTGTCCTTTCTACCCATCAGGAGAGGGACCCCAGGTGCAGGAGCCACAGAGGGGCCATTTCTAGAAGAAAAGCCAGCCTCCGACAGCAGCACTGTTACCTCTTCACCTGCTAAAGTGCCCTTAGTGCCCTGCCCCAGGGGACCTCAGAGCCACTGCCTTCTAAGACCCAGACCTGCCTTCAGAGACTGTCCCTCTCCTCACATTTAGAACCTGGGCAGGCTCTGAGCTTTTCTGTTCTCACTGCACTCCTGGAGTGGGGGAGGAAATTCGACTAGAATAGAGCCCATCTGCTGCCCACCTGTCAGATCACTTACCATGGCTGTGAGGTATGGTGCTCGGTCCTCTTCTGGCTGCCTTCAGTCCTGCTCAACCCCCTTTATAGGCTTGAGCAGTACATCAGGGGGTGTGTCCAGAGAGCCTGCACCAGTGGCCAAATGCTACTTCACTTTCAGTTAACTTTTCTCCAGGCACCCCGAGAGCCAGTGAAGAAACAGAACAGAATGACAGAGTCATAGTGGCACACAGAAGGGGGGAGCCCAGGGTCTCAAAGGGATGGTCAGGGCCAGAGACACAGGGCAGTGCCCTCTGCCCCACTCAGCTTCCCAGAAAACCCCTAAATATCCAACACTTCGGACTCTTTACAAGATATACTAAAGTCATAATAACATGAACTAATGACTGGAAACTTTCATTTTCCATTTACCAATCTGCAAAATTAGGAAACTTGGAAAATATTTGCCAATATTAATTCAGAAACAAAATAGTGACATCCCAAACTACCTGGAGATAACCACCACTGAGTAAGGACAATATTTGTTCAGATTGTTTTTTATTGAAAAAAATATATTCTGTTTTCTACATAAATGAAATCATGGACCGTATTGAGATAGACCCTACCGAAAAAGTTGGATTTGTGCAGTGGCTCATACCTCTAATTCTAGCACTTTGAGAGGCTGAGGTAGGAGGATTGCTCTACCCTAGGAGTCTGAGGCTACAGTGAACTATGATGACTTCACTGTACTTCAGCCCAGGCAGCAGAGTAAGACTATGTCTTAATTGAAAGAAAAAAAAAATAAAAAAACCAACCCTGATATTATTTTCACCATTTTGTAACCTGCTTAATTCATGTAGCAGTATCATAAACATCTTTCTGTTAATACATTTGTGCAAATTGTTTTAATGACTGCATATGTTCCCCATGGAATGAGTCCATTATAGTATAGAGTAAAATTCAGTTAACCAATCTCATATTGTTGAACATTTAGGTTGTTTCCAGATTATTGCTATTATAAACAGCACATAACAGCTAAAACTAAATAAAATATCTAAATAAAATTTAAGCAAATGTTTAAATTAAAAAGTTAGAGATTAGGGCGGCACCTGTGGCTCAAGGAGTAGAGTGCTGGCACCATATGCCAGAGGTGGTGGGTTCAAACCCAGCCCTGGCCAAAAACTGCAAAAAAATAAAAAAAGTTAGAGACTGGGAAAAGACCATATTCTGAATATGAATCCTGACCAAACAAAAATCTCATGTGTTACCAAAATTGTTAACATGCAAAAATCAAACGATTTAAAATTTATTTCTTTTTATTAAGTTTGCACCTTGATTCTTTCCTTGCATAAATAATATTGACATTGTAAAAAGAAAGCCACAAACATTTATTAACACACAATACAGAAAGCAGAAAGTCCACCTGAGTCTCCACCAGACGACTATTATTCAATATGGCATACACGCCTCCTGAGTTCTGAATGCTGACATATTGTCCTAGAAGCCTCATTTTCTTTTCTTTCTTTTTTTTTTGAGACAGAGTCTCACTTTGTTGCCCTTGATAGGGCACCATGGCATCATAGCTCACAGCAACCTCAAACTCCTGGGCTCAAGTGATCCTCTTGCCTCAGCCTCCTAAGTAACTGGGACTATAGGTGTCCCTTGCAATGCCTGCTAGTTTTAGAGATGGGGTCTTGCTCGTGCTCAGGCTGGCCTGGAACTCCTGAACCCAAGCAATCCACCCACCTCAGCCTCCCAGAGTGCTAGGATTATAGGCACGAACCAGTCTCTTTTCTTGTTTTTAGTAACAGGATCTCTCTTTGTCATCCATGCTAGAGTGCAGTGGTGTCATCACAGGTCACTGCAGCCTTGAACTCCTAGGTTTAAGTGATTCTCCCACCTCAGCCTCCCAAACAGCTGGGACTAGAGGTGTTAGAGTGCAGTGGAGTCATGATAGCTCACTGCTATATTGCCTAGGTGGTCTTGAACTCCTGACTTCTAGCAATCCTACCACCTCAGCCTCCAGGATGACCACTGTGCCATGCCTTAATTTTCCTTAGTTACTTCATCCAATCTCTGCCAGTAGTCTTCATGCTTTTGATAGGACCAACTCAATGGAGAGGCATGAAAGGAGGAAGCTCATAGAACCAGGAGTCATCTGCTTTGTCTCCTGTGGCTCCCTGGACAAAGTGCTACAAACTAGGCAGCTTAAAAAACAGAAATTTATTTGCTTACAGTTATGTAGGCCAGAAGTCCAAATCCAAGTGGACTAAATAACTAGGATTGTCAGCCTGGCTTTAAAAAAAAAAAATCTATTTTTGTATTTTTGTAGCTCTGGAAGACAAGAAACATCTGAAACATAAAGACAGAAAGTTTGAAAGCAAAAAAAAAAAAAATAGGAAGATGCATACCACACAAATATTAAATAAAAGGAAGCAGATATGGCCATAGGAACAATTTCATTAACATATTAACAAAGAAATCTTAGAGGCAAAGTATTATTGGAGACACAGAAGGTTATATAATAAAAGATTGAGTTTGCTAGTAAAATAAAATACAGTATAACCTCTATAATTGACTACCTCCCTACACTGACCACCTCCTTAAGTGGACCTAATTTTCATAGACCAGACATGTACCACATGCAGGTATCAGTACAGTAGGCCTAGTTTGTTATGTTGACCACCTTTGTATGTTGACCAGTTTGTTACAGTCCCTTGGGTGGTCAACTTACAGGGGTTCTACTGTAATTTTAAACTTGTATGCACTTAATAACATAGTCACACAAGATCTACTTTCTAGTTACAAAACTTAATATTTATATTCTGTTTGTGAATGTAGTAACAACCACTTACAAAGGGACCTTGGTTAATATTTGGTCTCATTTGCAAACTAACTCAAGTTTCATTAAATCTTTTAAGACAAGGGCCAGGCACAGTGGCTCATGCCTGTAATCCTCACACTCTGGGAGGCCAAAGTGGGTGGATTGCCTGAGCTCAGGAATTTGAGACCAGCCTGAGCAAGAGCGAGACCCTCTCTCTAAAACTACCCTGCTGATGGCCGGGCAGGGTGGCTCACGCCTGTGATCCTAGCACTCTGGGAGGCTGAGGTGGGTGGATTGCCCTGAGTTCACAGGTTTGAGACCAGCCTGAGCCAGAGCAAGACCCCCATCTAAAAGTAGGGGCATTGTGGTGAGCGCCGGTAGTGCCAGGTACTTGGGAGGCTGAGGCAACAGAATCACTTGAGCCCAAGAGTTTGAGGTTGCTGTGAGTTATGATGCCATCGCACTCTATGGAGGGTGACAAAGTGAGACTCTGTCTCAAAAATAAATAAATAAATCTAGCCTGGTGTTGTGGCAGGTGTCTGTAATCCCAGCTACTTGAGAGGCTGAGGCAAGAGGATCACTTGAGCCCAAAAGTTTGAGGCTGCTGTGAGCTATGATGCCATAGCACTCTACAGAGGGTGACAAAATGAAATTCTGTCTCAAAAGTAAATAAATAAATAAATAAATCAAACTAGGCTGGTGGTGTGGCAGGTGCCTATAGTTCCAGCTACTGGAGAGGCTGAGGCAAGAGAATCACTTGAGCCCAAGAGTTTGAGGTTGCTGTGAGCTATGATGCCACAGCAAGAGTCTCAAAAAAATAAAAACTTTTAAAACAGCATCTCTAAAGTTGAATATACTTGGATTTATTTATTTTTTTCAATTATGAAACAAAGTTTATTGAGGAAGAGAAAGATAGGTTTATAGAGCAAAAGCAAGATAAAGATTTATAGAGCAAGATATATTCTCCAAAGATAAGAACAGGCCCCAATTATTGCAACAGGGAAAAGGCAACTTGGTTTTATTTTTAAACCCTTCAACTATCTGGCAACAGCACAACAGCAACACAAAACCTTTCTAAGAACAGTCCTTACCAGGTGCACCTGGAGGTCCTGGTCCAGGCACTAACACCTCCCTCCCAGGCTCTGTGGAGACAGCGTGCAGGTTCTGCTCCCATGCTGACTCCATGCCTGATCCTGACCCAGAACCCATGAGTGATCTATGAGAAACCTTCCTTCCCATGGCTTCCCTTATCCCTCAGAGCAACAGGTGGGGCATAGATTTGTCTCAGTGAGGTGGACTGGGTCCCTCTGTCCTCCTCTTGGATCTCCTCTCTTGCCCAGTCCCCAGAACTCAGCTCCAACCGTGGGCCTCCTTGCCTTGCTTGGGGCACACAAACCACTCTCACCTTCTGCCTTATTTTGTCTTCCAAAACCACCCTGTTTACTTATCTGTAACTGTAGTGGTCTTTCTTTCTCACTACAACATTCATTGCTGCACCTGCCCATGAACTATGCAGAGGACATGTGTTTGAATGAGAGAATCCTTGTACATTTAATTAAATTAAATGTGAAAATGTACTGGGTCTTAAGTTCTCAAACATTCTGATTTCTTGTTCTAGTGGTTTTTTTTTTTTTTTTTTT